GCCTACACCCGAAGCTTCATCTTGGTGTATTAAGCACGTCATTTGATGGATTATACACAATATACTAGATGTGTTATTTTAATAAGACGAATAAAGGGTCAAACATTTGAAAACATGGGGGCGGGTGGAAGAGCATGATCAGTACACCTCCTGATTTCAAATGGTCGATCCCTAACTAAGAATATGTCAATTAAATGTCATGGATTTAGTCAGTCTCCATCAAATCATTGTAGAATAAGTACTAGTTAATTACAGTCTAGTTTTATCAATCTCATATAAATCGGAATCCTTAGAATCCATAGAATGGTAAGGGCATATAAAAGTTACTATGGATGGACTCTACTGTGAGTAATTGAATAATATAATCTCACGATTCAAAACGTTTGCTAACAATTCGACTGAGCTTTCATATACAATGTGTGCAGATATTTCGCCAGGGAAATATAAAAGAAAACATGGCACAGGAAACATGTGACAAAACCGACATATCAGCGTACAAATACATCGACAATATGTCGGGAATGAAATAGCGTGCACAACTTCGCTAAACTACGAATAATCATCACACTTGCTCGCAATGCTCAACGCATAGACGGACTGAAAGTAATAGGCAATAAGATAGCAGTTACTGACAAACACAACTACATCACATACCATTATATAAATGAAATCTGTTTCGACACCATTTGCATTTTAAAGACGAGAATTTAGCTAAAGATGAGACGAGTGTGTGGCGGGTGCTGATTAACATACATGGAGTAGGGATTGAGAAAGTATGTAAATATTGATTACCAGTAAGTTGTATTCAGTGACTCCATGGAAAAGAGATCAGAAAGTGAGGCACTTTGTAGGTAATATACTGCATGTGATCTCTCATGCCAATTCATAAATGACCTTGAAATACATATAACTTACTTTCTGTTCTATTGAAAATGTTACTCGAGGCTACAAAATATGACCAATGTGCAAATGTCTTGAAAAGCATTTAAAGGGATTGCTGACAATATCAATCCACTCATACTGTGTATTATAGAAACAGTTCAATATCTTCTTTCTGGCAAAAAGCGTCGTCTAGCAAGTGAATGCAAGTTACATTAGATGGGCCAGTCGTGACTGAGTGGAACCATAATACACATTAGTGTAACATGAAAGTGATTGACAATTACGTGCCTCCGGAGAAACCGAGCATTATAACATTTTTTTTCTGCAACGCTTAATATTCAGCAATATGGTCACCGAACTTTTATCATTTATCTAGTGTATGTTCTTCATGACGCATCGATATAGCTTCTGGCAAGGTCATTTGATGCTATTAGTTCCACAAATCCATTGAATTACCTGCTCCATTTGGAAATTGTTCACTTTCCAAATTCACCATCTTGTGATCTGTGCTGAGATTTGGTTGGGGCTATCAGTTAATATGTTCATCATTTCAACGAATCGTGTAGTTACTACAGAGTTACAGAGATATATCCATGGGTTATAAAGTATAAATGTTTAAGATATCACAAATTTGTTGGTAAATTGAAGGATATTAAATACTACAAATGATATAATTTGAACTATATCTAATTATTTTATATCTTGCTTGACAGAACGTTCTTTGTACGTGGCTGCTATTCTGAAAATGATTCCAGAATGTTCCCCAGACCTGCCGTTCACAGTGTTTTGTACTGCAAACAGCAGGCATTCATATCCTCAACAAAGTAGAGAATGTATTTACCATATTTGGATTACTTTCAACGCTTCGGTGTTCACGAGTATTACTCACACACGTGTTTATACAACTACCTATTTATAGAGCGCTAGATTTCACCACAGTTCTTTTCACGACGATAATTTCAATTAGCTGTAAACAATCAGACAACGAGATATAATCCACAGAAAATGGTTCGAAATACTTGCTGATACATTGATGACCTTTGAAGACTAGTGCAATATAATAAAATCGATTATTTAATAATTAGAATGTTCTATTGCGGCAACAATTCCGCTATGTTTACTTCAGTATGTTGTTCATAGTGTGAAGTTATTTTACGTAATGAAGAATATGGAAATTGCATGAAGTCAATGACCACAAGTTCCGAAATCAACGCTCACCTGCGGCCTCGACACTTGGACTTTATAAAATAATTAAATAGTTAAATAATAATTCGACCATATAAATGTGCGTTTTTTGAACTCAAAACCTATTATAGCACACATTCTGAACGAAAAGTGTGAGATACAGTATCAATGCTTTTTAAAGCGGATAGGACATGTTTTATTTGTAAAATCACCACTGTCAATGCTCATGACGTCATAGCTTCACATTATCACAATATATAGGCATGGGACTGTTAATCAATCTTTCCATTTCAAGAAGAATTATCCAAACTTAATGTGCTTAATTCTGATTGTGGTGATTTATGACAACAATAATAAATCCCTCCCAGATTCAAAGAACGGTCTACATTCGACTTAGCCTCACACATTATTTTGCTTTAGACCATTCTTCTCATCCAATATAGCGTTATGGGAGGATACAAAGTTGTTTAAATAGCAGGATCTAAACGGAGATGTTCGTTCACATCCCCGTCCTTGTCATTTCCCTGTCGTAAGATTATTATTTACACTTGTACATTTTGTCCATGGACCAATGTCAGTACTATATACCCCTTTTTACTTGTATATCGTTTGTGTTAAAGAACGAAATCGTGCATTCAGAACAACAGGGTATGCGATTTATTTCTTTTTTTCAATATTTATAGAAATTGTCATTATCGACAAATGTCAATCACTTTTGAAAATGTGTTATTGAAGGTGTTCATTAATGTTGGGAAGAAAAAGTAAAAGGTCATGAGCGGCCTCCTTTGAACTGACGCGCGCGCTGTATCAAATCATTTTTTCGGCAACGACAAACTATTTGATTTGCATGTTAAATTAACCATCTATACAATACAATACATAACACTTTTTCTTGAAATTACCAAACAAAATTAAGTGCCACATCAACGATTCTATTATAACAGATTTCACAACAGTCACCATTTATGGGTTAGTTCGATGACCCTTCTCATGTTTCGTGAACGTACTTGATAGAAAATGGCAACATTTTAAGAAAAGTGTTTTTAAAGAAATGATATGAAAATCGTTCACATTTATGTTATATATAACAGATAAAATATCTCAAATGTGTTTGTTTAATTGTGAAAATCAATTGTCATGTATATTTTGTCGCATTTGTTTTGCGCAAGTGCGCGTGCGCATTGACTGATTGGCAAGAACTGGTTGTTCACACCCCGTTCACACGATAATGGCGTAGCTCGTTACTTCCGTTATAAAACATCCATATATGTCCATAATAATGAAAAAAATGAGTTTATTTGCAACGTTGGCACCGCACATCGTGAGCTGGTGTATCGGTGAGCGACGTTCATTATCAGACATGACTTCACAGTGCGACAACCTATATTGTCTTGTGTTTTCGGAGTCTGTAATTGCGTTTAACATAGTATAATTCGAATGAGTTCATTTTGTTTATGCTTATGGCTATCATGTTTGATATATAAGTTATACATACGTCCTGCAACCGATTCAGAATATCAAACCCAATTGTACGTTGGAATGTGATATACCTTAGTAATTGGTATATGACGTGTTAAACAGAAACATTATCAATATTGCTATCATTGCCTTTAGGTATTATAGTGATCTTTGTTCTGTAAGTAAATGTCACGTCCATCATAGATGACGTCAGCCGACATCCTAGCGGACGTATGTGATCTGGGCATTCATTACCTTGAACTACAGCGATTAACTTCGCAAAAAAACACATCACTAGACTATTTTCCGTAAGCGACATTATTCAACATTGTATACAAGTGAATTTTGGGGTGCCCAGTTTTGTTAATTATAAACGAAACAGAAAAATAAACGATCGCGTCGACCCATATCTACAGCCTCCCAACATGTGGATATGATCACAAAGATCAGCGACATTACAATTGCCTAAACACGGACGAAAGCTTAACAGACATAATGACATTCATTTCAGTGCACACTTCTACGCAAGGTTTTCTGCAGGAAACTGAAAATAGTAATTAATGATCTTGTCTTATGATCCATGCTAGATATTTCTGCGCAACGTTCTTTGTATTTTTATTGTGAAAACGCATTCAGAATATGAAACGCATTTATATTAAATGTATTGCTTAGTCGCAGGAGTAGTGTAATATTTCTTCGAGGAAATGACGACGAGTATATGAAATGTAACTAGCTAGTACAAATTCAATGTATTCTTTGCTGATGTGTTTATGCAGGACGTGGTTCCGGGTCTGAAGACCGTGATGTTTGAAATACTACTATGTTTCACGGATAGAAGGTGCATGGAAAATGTCGTCATAACTTTCAGCGTTTTATTTTAGTATCGCAAAACAATGTTATATGTGATACACAATGAACTCTTCTAGGCTAAAGTTGTTAAATACAAAAATACACGATTCACCCATCCTAAAACAAATATTTGTCAAGATCCAACATATATGATATACATGGTTACTATAAGGTCACAATAACATAACTATTATAGTAAAATTCGTTATTTTAGTTTAAACAATTTTTCTAGTACTCTTGTTCTACTATCAGCTTCAACAATTTGAAAACATGTTGTTGTTTCATAGTACGATTTTGTATTGTTACTTCGTGATTACTGTGCCAAGTAACTATTCTTCCATATACAAAAAAACAACAAATATATATTTATAAAACAATCGTTGAGGCCATTCATAAACCCATTTTCAAAGATATTAAGACATAAATTAGCCAACAGAATTCTCAACACCAAAATAGCAAAGCCATACAAATGCATTCTTAATACTGATTATGCGTACTTGGCAATCTGGGCATATGGGTTTCAGTTCAACACAAAGTGTATTCCGATCAACTCATGGAAAATTCAGAACATACAATAAAAAGTACATTCAGCGGACACGCTTTAGTAAATAATTAGGTGCATGTCATTAAGTTTGCATTAAGTCTGCGCGGTGAAAACACCGACACATTTTTGATACAATCTCTTTCAATCGATTCCTCAGATCTCGGTTGAAATAACCGTAGATTATTGGATCCATTACGGAGTTGCCAAGCGCCAGTAAACTGGTGAAAGTCCGTACCTCTAGGTGAATTACGAGAGGGGAAACGAAAGCATCGATTAATAAAGTGACAAACAAGGGTATCCAGGACAACTCAAAATACATTAAGATATACATCACTGTACGAAATGCCTTCCTGTTAAAATTGCAATGTTCGCTGTGGGGATTGTGTTTATCATGGTTACTGCCATTTTCTTGAACTTCACATGGGCATATTTCTTGCCTGTTATGGTTATGTTCATTTGCCGTGATCACCTGGGAAACCCTACATTCAATCTGTTGTATTCGCATCGTCTGTCGATTTGCTTCCTTCAGTATTCGGCAGTAAAGCACTGTGGAAATTGCGACCGGGAATACGAGTCCGGTTATGAAGAGAAAGACAGCATAGCCCGGTGCGTAAACTTCACCTCGCTGACAGGTACTGGCCTTCTCTCGCCATCCCATGACTGGGAGGAAACCAATGGTGAAAGCATACACCCATACTAATGATATAGTCACAATTGCACGCCTGGATGTCATTATTGCGTGATATTTCAATGGCGAGGTGATAGCCAGGTAGCGATCAATCGTGACAGCGACAATGTTGGTTATAGAGCTTGTGCACACGACGACTGTGAAACAAGCCACCTGTAAACAAGTGGTGTAGCCTTTCAATAAAGCTGTCGGGAAAGCAAAGTTAATCGGAATTACAACCAGTCCGACAAGCATGTCGCTGATGGCCAAGCTAACTATGAAATAGTTCGTTGTAATTCGTAGTCTAGAGGTCGATAGAATGGCGTAGATCATCAAACCATTACCAGCAATTATCAAGACGAGTAATGTTGAAAGTATGGTGCAGTGAATAACGGTCGCGATGTGCGAGGCTTGTCCGACAGCAGCAGTGTTATTCATATTATCAGCCATCGTTGTTTTATATACAGCGAATTATTTTTGGAATTGCGAAGCAAGCATCGGTTAAAGGCGTCGCAGTATGCACGCAAGAACGTCTTGAAGCTTTATACATCGATTAATGATATTCGCGGAAGTTGCTAGTCGAGATGAACGCAACGCATCAAGTTATTGTGTCGAACGAACAACTGAAGATATATCATCGATGCCAGGCACTTATGAATAGCCTCTCTTCTATAGTCTCAGAATATCCAACAACATAATATATTTATACGTGGACGATCCCATTTCGACATCTTTTGTGATGTACGACAATCATCATGTGACTACATTTCAGTGTCACACTTGGAGCACGTAACGCGAATTATTCAGAAACTGGAGTTAATTAACAGCAATGTTGCGTTATATGGGACTGGTTTGTTTAATCTTTTTAATTGAGTTTCAAACATGTGACATCAGTATCATACAGAGAAGACATATGATAATGGCAAACTATTAATGTTGAATAGATTTAAATATGTAATATGTAAAATGAGATGATGTGATTGTTATACGAGCTTTTTTATAGCATTAACCGCATTTGAAATGAATGTCTCGTTAACTGAATTTATTATTATAAATTAATTACGGGCACACATAAGTTACGACTTGGAACATGAAATTCAAACTCACAATCTTGACAAGCGTCTTAAGTGCGAGATGCACATTTTACACGGCGCTTTGTAATGAACTGATAGATGATGAAGATAATATTCAAGACACGTCGTGAGTCAATGCAAAGTTGCTTACAAGATTGTGCCTGATTGGCTACCAGACCGATACACGTAACAGTCAGACCAATCAGAACACAGCTTGTTTGTTGACATTTTTTATTCGATGTATCGAGTTCTGTCGAGTAAATATGCTTCGTATTCGAAGGTTATCAACGATTACACGAATGGACTTGACTGTTGGCCAAAATCATAAAAATAAATATTGTGCTTACTGATGTCACTCAAACGGTGTGAGAGTAAGTCTGTATTCGCCGTTGTTTTGAAACAACAATCGATCAAAATATTCGCATAAACTACAGATTTGTGTGTTTTACGTTCATTCTTATTGTTCTGTAAAATTAAAACACAGACACTGTTTTGAGATACAAGGAGATATAGCATTCAGGAATTTAAAAAAATTGACAATGAGATATTGAAGTTTTTTTTTTTTTCAATTTAATTTCTAAGAAAAAATGGAATATTTGCTAATTTGCATAATCGTCGTCCTTGCGTTATAATTCCCATACACTATTTTTGAAAATCCCTTATAAATTCATTCATTATGAGTCTGTTTAGAGACAATTCTATGGGGTCAAAATTATATTTATTTGCATAAAATTTATTATTTATAGTGGTTTATTCTGTATATTAAAATTAGGTTGACATTTTTATATTGTTTTTGCATCAGATTGGCAATGCCATGACATATTTGTGTTGTCTTTGCATGAAAATGATACAAGGTTGACATAATCTTGAGTTTTCTCGAACGTTCTTTAAGTAATGATACCCTGTATGTTGGCAGCAAATTGATGAGTGGCTGCTATTTTGACAGATACATACATATATATATATATATATATATATATATATATATATATATATATATATATATATATATATATATTTCCACATCAGATAAGCTAATAAGGTTGTCAAAGTGACGCATCGACAGTGTTGAGAGGTTGTATATCGATGCCTTAGCGTCACACATATTTTGTTCAGAACAGACAACAACGATTTGTGAAGAAGTGCAGGGACATTTCGGGCGAAGGTATGCACGTACTCCTGGTACCCAAGGAGCAGTAAACTGTACAGATAATCAGAGTCGTCGTATCCTTTGTGCTACCCCAAGAGAGGATCTCGCCCCACATGGTACTATATTTGCTTTGCCATTCACGGAACAAACTTGGGTACCTGCAGCAAAATAGACTTTGTAGAAGGTTGGTCTCGATGTGAAGAAAGTTCAGTACTGAAGTTGATGCATTTTAAATGGAACGCACCTAAAAATACGAGTCGTCTGCTGGATACGAAATGTTTGCAACACACCAGCACCAGGAGGCATTTGTCTATGCTATAGTCATAACTACCTAAGCTTTACACTAGAACACTTATTCAAGATTAAACACGATTTATCAACAGACGAATATGTCACTACAAATAAGCACACAATGATCGTGCTCCATTTCGCATGTGTTTATTAATTGCAACTCTTGTTTAACTGTGCAATAATTCTCTCTGAGTTATGTAATTCATCTAAATATTTTTTCAGATAAGAAGTTTGAAACACTAAAACCATACTCGTCATTTTGAAATATAGAAAGCAGAAATATAGACAGATATATGTATGATTACTTTAAAGCCCCCGCAACACACACATACCTAATTGTATATACCCCTAGATAATAATATATGCCCACAAGAAGGCAATATACGATACAATTAAGTGATACTGGAGGTTTAGATGTGGGCCTTCTTAATTAATGATTCTCATTTCATAAATAACCCACAACCCGAAACGTGACACAAAACACGATCAAATGTACTCCGAATATTGATAAAACATGCTTTTTAAAAATTAAAACGGTACGTTGTTTCGTTGTCTGTTAATTTCGGTTCAGAAATATATAATATTCGCGGAAGTTGCCAGACGAGATAAAGTTACAACTGAAGATATATCATCAATAGTATTCACATTATGGTTATATGAATAAAATATGTTAATTCGTTAACGTCTAACAAATGGAAGAATGTTGTTTTGTTCAAACGACTAGTCAATGAAGGGACATACATTATATAAAATAATAAACTACATAACACATGGAGTGTAAAAAAAGCATTTTTGCACTTTTTGTGGTATTTTGAAAACTTTTTTTCTAACAATGTGAAGCAAAGGTTGACTCCTGTTTAGGGCTGCGAACGCGCACGAACCCGCATTTATACTTTGAGTAAAGGTTTCACTAAATCCACTAGCCAGCAAAAAAGTGAATTTTAGAGACATTTAGTGTGTGGCAAATCTGGCGTAAAGAAGATGATTATAATATAAACTTCATTTGAAAAGTTCACAATTTCAATGATGCTGATATAAATACGATCTATAAACAAAAGAACCTGCGTCATTTGGTCAAACGACACGTGTATTTTTTTGTTTGTTATGTCAACAAAATATACAAATAGGTAAAATATTCACAAACACTTCGGAGTTTGGGTATGAAACTAATTGCGTAAAATAAACATGGGTTGACAAAAACTGACACTGATCGAAATGAATTGAAATAAGTGTTGACTAACTACTAAACCCAGACTTTAATATTAATCTGATACAATATCGTACCGGATGCTGAAAATATGATTTTATATATGAAGAAAAAAACACCTGTACAGATGTGATGTTCAGAAGACATGAATCAGTTTATATGTTGTTTTCCTTCGCACATCATTATGCTAATGTTACCATTGATCAGACAAACGTCAATATACTGCATTTTGAATACACTAAGCGTCATTTTTTTAACCAGAAAGTTCCATGTGTAATGGTTCGTGTTGACCGTAAAAACCACATAAAAATCAAACGTCCACAAGAAACAAATGAAATCGTTAGCGTACACAGACATGGTTCAACCGAGGCATGTTAGGAGTCACCGTTTCTCCCCCAAGCACCGTAACATCTGAAGCGCCTCGCCATTATGCAATTGATGTGAGTTAGATTAGCATACTGATATTGGTTGCTATCTTAACCTAATTATCCCCTAGATCCCCTTTAACAGGCAATATATACATGATGAGCATATAAACTACACAAAACATCCGAATATCCTATAAATGTTTTCCTTATTTTTTTTTAATTTTAATGCAAAAAATATTTTAAATAACAGCGTATAACAACAAATAAAACATGTTCAGGGTATTTTATGTTAAAATACTTTTGACTAAAAGTGCTGATTAGGCAATATCTTTTTCAATATCTTTATCAACCATAATGAACCCTTAATTAAATACAGTATTACAGTTCTGATCAAATTGTAATTACATTCACGGTTTGATCATTTATTGCATGTATGCTTGTTATACACATGCACTGCGAGATAAGGACACACGAACACACAAACAAATTAAATCGTCATACCATTGCAGGAATACACTCTACTTATCACACCACTCACGGACAAGACTAACGAAATGTAGAAATATCTACGTATATATAAGGGACCATGTGCGTCATGGTTTAGGATGAACCTACGTAGTTACGAGTGCCCTCAAGGCGAATTCTGTCCCACAGCAAAGACATCCTAGATATAACTAATATAATTACAAACACACATAAATTACAATATGCAAAATAGGATTCATGGAGTAAAATAGTAAACTAATGTTCCTTTATCTGGGACATATAGGTGAAGGTTATACAATGACATGTTTATTAAACACAACTCTCAAACAAACATCTTGCTGTCGTGTTGTTTAATACGTGACCATTTCATGAAAGAAATGAAAAAAAAATTGTCTAACATTTACTCCAGGAACAAGTCATTCTATTTCACGCAGAAAATATTTTTTTTATCGATTTGTAATCGGTTTTTGCTGACAAACTGAAATATATTATTATTAGTCACTGCAACATGTTTTTTTAAAATTGCTACTGACTTAAATAAAGTAGAAAGTACATACCCGAATTATAAATTCTATTACACAAGCCGTATGTGGGACATTAACATGTCCAGGAACACAGAATAAAGTAATCAAATATTTTTTTCTATTCTTTCCAGGAATTACATACGGTAAAGGAACACTATGTTATTATAACATTTATTCGTTAGTTCAGATTGGTTAGTTGGTTCGATTTGTGTTCCTAACGTTCGTCCGGGGCTCAATCAATTTGTTGTTTACCATTGAAACTGGTCATCGCAATGATTGGTATATTTGCCTGTAAGTTATTTACTCCAATTACTATTTGTATCAAGGTGTAGGGTCACATGGGCACCCACA